CCATGTCTCCGTGTTCCTGTAGGAACCTGGATAAAGCAAATATTTGAGCTCCGGGATAGGATGGAGTGAAGGAAAGATAATCTTTGCTGATCATGAATAATAGATTGAACGACCCACAGGGTGAGCTGAGGAGAATTTTAAACTAGTTTTATGATCAAGAGAAGGAAAAGAACAGATTAGAAAAGGATGATTTTTATAAGTTTACACAATTGGGGTTTTAACGTTCTAGTTCTCCTTAAGTTCTACATTCTAAGAAATTTCAGATTTTCATCTAACAAAATTTGTTGGAGCACCGGCATCAAATTCACCTTAGTAGAATCATTCAACAAAATTTGACGAATAACTCTGCTAAGGTGAGTTTGATGTCAGTGCTCCAACAAAATTTGAAATTTCTTAGCGTTTAGGGCTTTACAACTTTAAGTTCTCTTTAACGTTTGTTTTCTTTAAGTACTTTATAAGTTATCTCTCAGTTCTAACTGTATTTTGGTTTTAGTTTTCTTTCAATTCTTGATCTCCTGAAGTTCTAGTTCTCTTAAAGTTCAAGTTCCTTTTCAGTTCTACTTCTCTTGAAGTTTTAGTTCTCTTAAAGTTTTAGTTCTCTATAAGTTGTTGTTCTCTTTAAGTTCTAGTTCTCTTGAAGTTCTAGTTCTCTTGAAGTTCTAGTTCTGTTTAAGTTCTAGTTCTTTTTGAGTTCTAGTTATCCTTAAGTTCTAATTTTTTTTAAGTTTTAATTATCTGTAAGTTCTAGTTCTCTAGTTCTAGATCTAGTTCTAGTTCTAGATCTATATCTAGTTCTAGTTCATTTTGAGTTCTAGTTCTATTTAAGTTATTGTTTCCACTTCTAGTTCTGACTATTTTTTTTGATTTTTCTCTTTAGTTCTCATTCAGTTTTATTTCTCTTTAAGTTTACGTTCTTTTTAAGGTCTAGTTCTCTTTAAGTTTCATAGTTCTTTTTAAAGTTCTAGTTCTTTTAAGATTCTAGTTCTTTTAAGGTTCTAGTTCTCTTTAAGTTATAATTTAATTTAAGTTCTAGTTCTCTTTAAGTTCTACTTCTTTTTAAGTTCTAGTTCTCTAGTTCTAGTTCTATTATAGTTCTAGTTCTCTTTAAGTTCTAGTTCTCTTTAAGTTTTACTTCTCCAGTTCTAGTTCTATTATATTTCTAGTTCTCTTTAAGTTCTAATTCTCTTCCAGTTCTAGTTCTTTTCAAGTTCTAGTTCTCTTTTAGTTCTAGTTTTCTAGTTATAGTTCTAATTCTAATTCTAGTTTTATTTATATTTATATTTCTAGTTCTAGTTAATTTTAAGTTCTTGTTATTTTCCGCTTCTAGTTCTCTTTTAGAGACTGTATTTTGGTTTTGTTCTCTTTGAGTTTTTTCCAGTTCTCTTTGAGTTTAAGTAGTTCAAGTTCTTTAAGTTCTTTATATTCTAGTTCTATTTAAGTTCTTTAAGTTATACTTCTCTTTATATTCTAGTTCTATTTAAGTTCTTTAAGTTATACCTCTCTTTATATTCTAGTTCTATATATTTAAGTTCTTTAAGTTATGCTTCTATTTTTATTCTAGTTCTATTTTAGTTCTTTAAGTTATACTTCTCTTTATATTCTAGTGCTATTTAAGTTCTTTAAGTTATACTTCTATTTTTATTCTAGTTCTATTTAAGTTCTTTAAGTTATACTTCTCTTTATATTCTAGTGCTATTTAAGTTCTTTAAATTATACTTCTCTTTATATTCTAGTGCTATTTAAGTTCTTTAAATTTTACGTCTCTTCAAATTCTAGTTCTGTCTAAGTGCTACCCTCGATCTCTTTAAGCTGTAGTTGTGTAACTTTTTTCTAAAGTTCTAAAATAAATTATCTTACAAGGATTATGCTGTTCCATATTTCATCTCTATATGTGTTTCCTAATCCTTGTTTGTTGATCCTTGCTCCAATATTCTCTCAAATATGAACCTAATTATGATTAGAACTCAATCCCTCCGCTCACGGGGATCCAACTTCGTATTCATTCTTAGGGTCGTAAAAATGACTTCAAAACAGGGGGTCTATCTTTATATTCTTTCTCAAGGTCGTAGAAATGGCTAAAAAACAGTGGACCATTCTTCATATTATTTTCAGGGTCGTGAAAATGACTGGAAATTATAGGGTTTAAGTTTAAACAAATAATACGCAGGGCTAAACTTTTTGATTTATGAAGAGGGGAGGGGGTCCTATTTATGACTAAGATGGTAGGAGATGATGTATATAGAATGTAATCTTTTATAGTTTTGTCTTCTTATCCTGTCTTAGGGTCGTAACAATGATTTAGCTGGAGGGGAAGGTGAGGTTGATTCTCAGAGTCGTAGTCATAACTAAAAAGATTTTTCTGGGCGTGTCTTTGATTTGAATCATGGTTGTGGGCTTCTTATCTTTTTATATTTTAAATTCGATGTTCATGATGCTCCAAACCTCACAGGGAAAAAATGTTGAAAATATATTTCGGTCTGGGTTTTCGAGATTTGCTGCTGTCATGAAGTTTCAAAACAAATTCTTTAACTCTAGATTGAAGAAACTAATAAAAGTTTTTTAACTCCGGGTCGTAGATATAGCTAGATAGAAGTCCATTCTTACAATAGAATGAGGATACATAAAACTCGTAAAACCAACCCCCCACGGTACAATTAAAACTAGAAAAGGTTTCCTATGTTCGGAGAGTAATGTTGACATGAATATTTAATTTCCTCATTGTTTTCTCTTTCTCAATCCATTGATTACCTAACCCTCGAAACAGTATACTCTGACACCCCTAAACTAACATCGTAAAGCAATATTGCCCNCCCCCCCTCCAACCCCCCGTGTCGGTTTTATTTCCATAAAAAGTAATGATCCAAGATGTCTCCACCCCTCCAGGGAATACATTTCTTAACTTTGTATGCATCTTCTCATATACCGGAGTAAACTTGGACTCAAGTCCGTCCTCCTCATATACCGGAGTAAACTTGGACTCAAGCCCGTCCTTCTCATATACCGGAGTAAACTTGGAATCAAGTCCGTCCTTCTCATATACCGGAGTAAACTTGAACTCAAGCCCGTCCATCTCATATACCGGAGTAAACTTGGACTCAAGCCCGTCCATCTCATATACCGGAGTAAACTCGGACTCAAGTCCGTTCTTCTCATATACCGGAGTAAACTTGGACTCCAGATTCTATTTTTTTTTTAACATTCTCTATCTTTCTCTTTTACAATAGATAAGAACTGGTTTAGGAAAGTTAGGACAAATATATTCCAACTTCTTTAATAGATTACAAAGAATTATTGTGGAGGAGAATTATTATTATTTTCTTATATTTTTATATTTTCTGATAACTGAGAACAATACTCAGATTGATACAAAAGATCTTGTGTATTGTAAAATGTTTTTGAATAGAAATAGAAGTCAGAACTTGAGCATTGAGCTCCATCTTAAGCAGATCTACGGATTACTTTCATTCCCCTTCAATATCCCATGATAGGCATACCCTGCAGGGATAACTTCAATTTAGGAATCAAGCATTGATCTAACAAATCCAATTTGAAAGCACCCACATTGTATATCGAGATCAAATGTTCCAGATTAAAAATATCCACACAAAAGCACCCACATTGTATATCGAGATCAAGTGTTCAAGACTTACAATATCCACATAAATATTCCGACCTCATGGGAATTAGAATGGAGATATAAGAAGATACAGTGATAAATATATTGGGTTTTCTTGTTTTCTAGATCAAAATCAGAATTCTAACAGACATAAAAGGCCCAAAAACTTATGCATTATTATTAACCATGCAGCTAATTTTGTGAAATGATTTTTTTACCATCAAATGATGTCTACTAATATGTTTTTCATTGCCCAAAATACAAGATAAAAATATATCAAAATTTTACTTTTAACTCAGTTTTTGTGTCCGACAAAATTATTAATAGTAGTGATAATGTAAGAATAAATTGCTTATCTTACAGTAAAATAAGTGCAATTTTATGTGTTCTTTAGTTTCTCTTTTCACAATTTTTTATTTAATCTTGGAAAACATGTCAACTAATGTGATAAAATTTCGTTTTCCATGTTATATTTGACACTTGTGACGTCGTGTATAATTGGTCCATTTATCTGTTGCCACCTATTGTACTTGATAATCTATTTGAGGTCTACGATGAATTTAATATTGAAAAATAGATATTTTGAATAAAATAAAAATAAAACTTTTCCCCAGGTTTTGAGATTTGAATAGAATTGAGGGGTAGATGGTAGAGATAGGGGGGATGTGTAGAGGGGGGGATGTGGAGAGGGGGGAGGGGCATTGAGCGGAAACGTCTATTAAGAAAAGGGGAATAAAATCTCTTTACAAAAGGGTGGGATCAGAAAAGTTTAGATAAAGATAATAATTAATCTTTAGTTCTTCTTTCATCTTGGAATCTTTAGCGTACATTATCTGGGCCCAAAACTTTAGAACTGAAAACGTAATGATTAATGAAACCAGTTTTGGAAGTTCGGGCTCTAGCTCTACTCTTGAGTGTACACTGTACACTGTACAGTGTACAATTGTACTTAAGCTTATAAGTTCTTTAAGTGTACCATTCCACCAGAGCCCAAAACTTAAGACAGGGTATCGTTCTGAAAACCAACTTTAAACCCCGGGTTTCACGAATGGGGTTAGGCAGTTTTGTGAATATCAATATTTTTGTTATGAAATATTATTTCATTCGGTTTGTTTATATTCTCAATTTTTTTCCAATCTCTTAAATCAAAATCTACACAAATGTTAAGACCCCAAAAAGGAAACTCGGGAGTTTTGTGTTGACNTTATTGTCAGATACTAGTCGTAATGTTTACATCAATCATACCTGCTCAGCTTTTATCCTTGCAAAACCTAAAAGTAATTGATGAAAAACTATTTTAATTGTCAATAAAAAAACAACCTAAGAACCGGAAATATGAGTATTATCATTAAAAGAAGTTGAACTTGTGTGATTTAAAATACAGTCTAACATGCTAATCTATATTTTGTGTTCAGGAGAACACCTGGAGAAAGTACATTGCTCCCAAGGGAGTTGTTACCCCTAAAGGACGGAGAAGTCACACTGCGATCGTGTTCCAAGACTCTATGTACATCTACGGAGGATATCAGGACTTACGAGGTTCAACATCAGAGCTCTGGGCCTTTCATTTCTCTAGTGAAACCTGGCATCTAGTTTCCCAAGGGGGAAATGTAGATGGACCACCAGCTAGGCACAGGTTGGCATAACAGGGTTAAAGGGAGTGACAGACAATGTATGGTAGTTGAACTTTGAATGTAGAATTGTGGAGATTTTTTTAGGAGTAATTTGAGACATACAAAACGTTTTAATGATGTATAATTACTGAGTTTGAGCGTAAAGCCGACTTTTAAATTCATCAATTTGGGTGGTTACGTTTTGAGAATCTATTTTTAAAATTTTTAAATAACGACGACGAAAAATGTAACAAAATTTCTACAGTAAACTTATGAGTTGTTGAGAAAATAAAAATTAACTCTTATCATCGAAAATAGCTAAACTTATTCAGTTATTAGTTTTTGTAATCTCTTATTGTTCGCAAACATTTTCTGTAGATTTTCTGGAATTTTTATGAAAAAGATCACATTTTGAAGAATTTGTAGAAATCTGCAAAAAATTCGTAAAGAATAACAAATTTAATTTAATGATGAAAAAGAAATAATTGATTCTAACATTGATTTATTGGCAAATTTGTATCGAGAAATATGTTTCTAAACATCTAATTAGTTTGAATTTTTGAAACATTTTTCGTCGTCGCTATTTAATAATTGAAAAAAAATCGATTCTCAAAACGTAACCACCCAAATTGATGAATTTAAACGTCGATTTTGCGCTCAAACTCGGTAATTAACATCGTGAAAACGTTTTATATGTCTCAAATGAATCCTAAAAATTTCTCTACATTGCTACATTTTCAGTGCAACTTCCATAATTGCCGGTCACTCCCTTTAAAACATGAAATAAATATATGGTTAAAACATGGAAAATAATATGGAATGAGCAGAATTTTATAAAAATATGCAAAAAAAAATGGATTACAATAAGCTTTGAGCACAGTTTCAAATATGGTTAAAATAGGGGTAAAATGTAGTAAAATTAAGGTTAAAACGTTGTAAAAATAAGGTTAAAATGTGGTAAAAATAAGGTTAAAACATAGGAAAATTAAGGTTAAAACAAGAAAGAAATAGGGTTAAAACTTAGTAAAAAATGTATTAAAACATAGTAAAAATAAGGCTAAAGCATAGTTTAAAAAGGATTAAAACATTTAAAATTGGATTAAAACATTGTTAAGGCTCAAACATTGTTAAAAATAAATGAGAAAAATATTGCTAAAATAATGGGAGGTTAATATTGTTTAGATTTGTAAATAAATGCACTGGAATAATTTGTCTTCATTAGTTAGTGCTAAATTAATTCAGAAAACATTTTATACTTTTTTTCTATGTTTGTATATATTGTTAATATAAACATATTTTCTATGTTTGTATATATTGTTAATATAAACATATTTTCTATGTTTGTATATATTGTTAATATAAACATATTTTTTATGTTTGTATATATTGTTGATATAAACATATTTTCTATGTTGATATATATTGTTAATATAAACATATTTTCTATGGTTGTATATATTGTTGATATAAACATATTTTCTATGTTTGCATATATTGTTGATATAAACATAATTTCTATGTTTGCATATATTGTTGATATAAACATATTTTCTGTGTTTGTATATATTGTTAATATAAACATATTTTCTATGGTGGTATACATTGTTAATGTAAACATATTTTCTGTGTTTGTATATATTGTTAATATAAACATATTTTGGCATTAAACGATGTTTTCTTTTTCTTTGTTAATTTATTTATCTATAAACTTAATTATTATTTTTTATTTATCTTTTTTATCTTACTCACTTAATTAACTTATACTTATTTATGTTTTTTTAATATTTGCTTCTATGTTTCTTATTGATACATCTTAAGAACATTAAGAAATATGTAATTTAATTTAATGCTATTGCATACCTGTAATCGAAAAATATGCCATCATTACATATTCTATACATTTATAATGCAATTCATACATATATATGTATAAATATTATATATATTATTTATAATGGATATCAAACATTCGGAAAGGGAAAGGAACTAAATACTTCCCACAAACTATCATTTTAAAACCTTACATCTATGTAACCTGATGGCATAGATCTCTGATATTTCAAACTTTGAATTCTACTGGATCAATTAGTTTAAATATGAATGGTCTACAACATCAGACTGCAAATAACAGAAATTCAAAATTAAAGTGTTTGATGGCGAGTAATCAGTTTCTATATGAAAAGAAAAGTAGTTGAACTGGGTAAGTGTGGTTCAACTACGCTGTCTGTATAAGGAGAACCTAAAACCTGAACGGAACACTCGCCACAAATTCTAATTTTCAAATCATTTTATCGTAACGTGTCACATGTCGTCATTATGTTACTAAGATAAAAGGGATTAGCAACTTGGTTGGAGGTTGTGGTGAGTGTTCATTTCTTTTCCTTTTCTTCAATTAAAACCTTCGAGTGAATTTTGAGCTTGAATAAGAGGTTGAAAACGGCTTATTTTATAACCCCCATTCATAAATTTTCAACTCAGGCCACTTGTTTTATTGTTGATATTTTCAATTTTTCTTACTTTTTTAATAATTTTTTACAGTCTCGGATATATTTAAGCATCTAACAGTATTAAAATATTAGCAGTTTTAAAAAATTATAAATTTTCAAATTTATAAATCCTAAAAAGTTACAAAAACACAAAACAATGTTTAGGCATTCTGCAGTTTTGCATGACTCCGCAATGTGGGTGTTTGGAGGTATGACAGATTTACAAGAGAGGGCAGATTTTTGGAAATTTGATTTCAGTAAGTATTTAATATAGTATTTAATATATAAATATATGTTTTTTACCTTTTGATTCACAACATGCAATACGGACATCCTAACAGAGGCTAGATTTAATAAATAGAAGAAGTAGTTGAACCGCGAAGATCAAATTAAACTACTTCTCTTCAGTTTGACCCTGCTGTGCACGAAAGAACTAGTTGAACCGATGATACGTGGTTCAACTACCTCTCACACGCATAACCGGTGAACCATTGCGGTCCTAGTTTGGACTATACCACCGCCAGTTAAAATTACTAAACCTGTGTGCTCGCTATTTATTAAATCTGAGCTGAAAACTTTAGAATGAGATATCCTTAATCCTGATCGCTTAATCTGATTATACAATGTACACACTTTTGATTTTATTCTTAATCCTCTTTTTTGGATATTCATACTGTATAAAAGTTACGTTTGATAACAATTACAGATACAATGCTATATCGATTGAACTAATATACCGATTGAATTAAAGTCAGCTGTTCACAAGCCGGCTTTTAAAGCATTTAAGCAAATATAAAGTTAATCATGTTAATATGAACTTATTAAACAATATATTTTATCACATTTTAGGACTAATCATTTCAAACGTTAGTCTTAACAAACATTAATCCAAAAGTTACATTTATTTAATCGATGTTTAGTTCAATTAATTTGACACAATAAATACCAGAAAAAACCGGTTTTTCAAAAGTTAAAGAGTACATCTTAACATGATACGCTGATTGGTTGAATTTTATACTACTTTCGTGGATATCGAATGCGTATTAATCTCGGGTTTAGTAAAACCAGGAGTTTAAGCATTAATCTTGATATCCATCATTCTAAAGTTTCAGCTCTTGTTCCATGATTTAGTAGTGTGTTCACACAACTATGCAGTACATTGAGTCCAGAAAAGTATGGGTTACACGCACCTCTGCCCCTTCAGTAAAAGTAAATTTAACCTATATGAAGCATAAAGTCTGACCGCGTCAACCTTGTTGCATCGGCTAGTTCTGAGCTGAAAACTTTAAAATGGATAAACTTTAATCCTGACTTCTTGATCCGAATATCCACTGTGGAAACTTTTCGTTTTAGTCCTTAATCCACTCTTTTTCTCTCTCCTTGGATATCCGTTAATTGTTTTCTCCAATGAGAATATTTCTGTTCTCTCATTGGTTGCCCGCTTTTCTCTGATTGGCTGCTCCAGTTTCTCACATGATTAAATATTAATTTGAATTTTATCGTTTTTCATACACTTTTAAGATAATCTTGCAAGATTATGTTAATCTGGAGATCAAGAAAAAGAGTGGATTAAGCCTTAATCCCGATATCCACTATTCAAAAGTTCCCAGCTCTGTCTATAGAGCTAGGTACAGTACAAACTGTGACCGGAAAGGTTGACCCGGCTCGGAAATTCAAATGTACTACGGCTGTCCGTGATTAAGAAAATAACACGTAAACAATCTTATTAATATTTGATGCAACTATTTGCACCATTTAATTGCTTGAAAATTATTTTACTCGATAAACTCGGGTTTATTTTAAATTGGACTTTTAAGCAGCTATAGAGCAAGCTGTACAGTACACATTCAGACTCCAGACAATACGGGACGGTACACCAAATTAGAAATACCCTTCTGGTGAACTTGATGTTCTTATGAAGTGAATTGGGTCTGTGTACGGTGTTTAATGCTCATTAGACCAGTATTACGTGTATTTTTTAATATAAACTTACGTAATATATTTATCAAAATCTGATTGAAATAAATGTATATTATACAGTATTGTGTTATGTATCTACTTGAACAATGCTAGGAGCCATTTTGTTTTATTGAACCAATTAGTTTTTACCAAATAGCTATTAACACCACTTGCGGTGCAAGACTGAGCAATTTGATAATTCTCAACAAAAGAGATTAATAAGTTTTGTTTTTAGTATACTAGAGCAAGATACTGTACTGTCATCAGAGTATACTAGAGCAAGATACTGTACTCTAAGAGTATACTAGAGCAAGATACTGTACTCTAAGAGTATACTAGAGCAAGATACTGTACTGTCAGAGTATACTAGAGCAAGATACTGTACTCTAAGAGTATACTAGAGCCAGATAGAGTAGTATGACTAAGTAAGGTGACATGTTTACCATAATGCTGATTATGTCCGGTAGTTTGGCAGGCTACATCATAATGTATACTTTATTCTGAAAATAAGAAAATAAGAATATCAGAAGGGTTAAAATCTTATATGTATATATCTATTAAAGGGATATCTTTTCATTCTACCGTCTTTTTTCTAGTTCGGACTCCACTACAGAATATAAGTTTAACATTTTTGCATTGATCGTTTATTCTTTTATACTTCAGCCTTTTAATGAAGATTTTTTATCTTCATATTGATACAGAAACAAGTCTAAGCAGGATATTTTCTTTAATGTCACAAAAACAATTAAAAACGAAAATAAAATTGATCAAATCTAGTTTTAAATTATTTTTTAAAATACGTGAAAACTGTCTTTTTTCATGTTAAGTGCGTTGAACAGTCTTTCTATCCAATTTGAAGCCTCATTAGTTTTCCATTTATTTGTATATTTATAGTTTCCCGTATGTGGAGACCAGTACGGAGTAAACCTGGACCTGGCTGTCTCCACTCCCATGCTGGAGTCAAGTTTCTCAACTCTCTTCTCCTCTTTGGAGGAGAGAGGGAGGGACAAACTCTCAATGAACTCTGGAAATTTCATTTTGGTGAGATACTTTTCATCACTGTTTAATCTTTTCCCTGACGACTTGCCCCACAAATCATCGTTAGAACTGATATCATCTTAATTATTCCTGGTCTGGTCCTATCTAATCCTACATCTTTTCCTATCTAATCCTGCATCTATTCCTATTAAATCCTGTATCTGGTACTATCAAATCCTAAATCTAGTCCTGTCTAATCCTACATCTTGTCCTGTCTAACCCTGCATCTTGTCTTGTCTAATCCTTCATCTTGTCCTGTATAATCCTGCATCTTCTCCTGTCTAATCCTGTATCTTGTCCTGTCTAATCCTGCATCTTGTCCTGTCTAACCCTGCATCTTGTCCTGTATAATCCTGCATCTTGTCCTGTCTAATCCTTCATCTTGTCCTGTATAATCCTGCATCTTCTCCTGTCTAATCCTGTATCTTGTCCTGTCTAATCCTGCATCTTGTCCTGTCTAATCCTGCATCTTGTCCTGTCTAATCCTGTATCTTGTCCTGTCTAATCCTGCATCTTGTCCTGTCTAATCCTGTATCTTCTCTTGTCTAATCCTGCATCTTGTCCTGTCTAATCCTGCATCTTGTCCTGTCTAATTCTACATCTTGTCCTGTCTAATCCTGCATCTTGTCCTATCTAATCCTACATCTTGTCCTGTCTAATCCTGTATCTTCTGCTGTCTAATCCTGCTCTTGTCCTGTCTAATCCTGTATCTTGTCCTGTCTAATACTACATCTTGTCCTGTCTAATCCTGTATCTTATATCTGTATATAATTTAATTTCTCCTGTAGCAACGGAGTATTGGGAGAAGCTAACCCCTGCTACAATTAAACCTCAACCTAGAGCTCAGACAATAGCTTTCGTCTTCAGTCAGTTCAGGTATCTAATTTAATTTAGAATCATTCTTCAAATATTTGATTAATCATTTAATGGAATTTGTCTAAGCAAAATTCTTGAAAAGAGTTTAACTCAATTTTTCTATTTTCCTTCTTCTTCAAACTCCACAAAATTCATCAAATCTTCTAAAATTAAATTGATGAAAATTCTTTCTTCAAGATTTTTTGAAAAGATATATTTTAGAATTTTATTCCATAATTTGATGTTGAATTCTATAGATGTGGAGGGGAGGTGAGATACATGGGCAGACCGGAGCAGGATTATTTCGGAGTTCCTTTAACTCCAAACCTTTCCAGGATCCGTCCTATGGCACGGTTGAGAGAGGAAGCGGAGACAATCCTAGATTCAAGGTATTTCTAAAACTAACTTCAACTCTTTTCTGGAAATTCAATTCTGTCCCTCGTGCAAAACTTCACGTCTCTGATGAAAAGGTGAACTGCAAAAGTCTAGTTTTTTCACTAAATTTTCTATATTTATTTCTTTTCTATTTCAAGCAGTACATGATTCTAAACATTCACCACTAACTTTAAGGTTCTAATCTCCATATGTTTTCAACCTGATGTTGTAAACCTTTGTACAAACTTTTAGATATGGCGTATTAGCATACTTTTAGATATATCATAATTTAAGTTTAAATATCAAATGTCTACAACATCAGGGTGCGAAGACATATGTATAAGAAGTTTGTGGCGAATATTCAATTCCTTTAATTATTACTCTAACTATTACATGAAATAGCTAGCTCTAGCTCTAGCGCTAGCTCAAATCTGTAGCTCACTGTGATTTAAAGGTCTCACGCGCTCAAGCAAAAATCTATGAGAATTTTGCCAATTACTTCTTAAAAACCAAAGCTAACAAAAAGTTTTTAGTAGTGCTAAAATGTACATGCAAAGGGCTACAGAAAAGCACAAGTAAGTTAGAGCGGTAAAATCTAAACCCAAGGTGTTGCGACACTTCAAAGTCAACCCTGTCTTAAAAATTAATGAGACTGTTCATAATCAGGCTGAACCTAGCTCAATAGACCTTAGTTCCGATACCTTTTTGCTCCCCCTTTGTATCAATCTCTCACCATCCATCTATCTGATTTTATGACACCCCTAACTAAACCTCGTAAATGAATGGTTTTATTTCTTGTTAAGCTCCGGGTGGTTTGGATGATAGGGTTTAATGGTGTTGGAGAGGAATAGTAAATATATATATCACTCAACTTAACATTAAACAACGTTCCAAAGTCTACAACACTAGGTTTAAAAGTTATCTATATATAAATTTAGCTTGTCTGTTTGTTTGTTTTGTTTGTATCCAATAAACGTCAAAACGGCTGAGCCGATCGGGCCCAAATTTTTTGTGGGACATAACGTGACCACAGGGAAGGTTTATGAATGATAAAAAAATTTTAAAATGTGTTTTAAAGGTTTTTAATTTTGTAAAAAAAAAAATTCTTGAAAATCCGCGATTTTTTTTTTAAATCCTCAAAAAAATTTTCTTCTTTGTTTTAAAATGTAAACAAAAAGAACATGTTCACAATTTAAATAGAAAAAGCCTAGTAAGGAAAATTATATTTTGAAGCGAGCATCGGTTCCTTCAGGAATTAAACCGATTTTGAACAAAAATTGGAAGATATAGAAAGAAATAAGTGCAAATGGAGAAATCAGAAATTTTAAATTCGATTTGAGCAAAAACTGAAATGTTGGTAATTTAATCTTTCTTGCTCATCTGTATCAATCTTGTAAAACCATTCTGGGTTGGAAATAAGAATTTAGTTTCTTTTTATATATTATTTTATCATTCTTCATCATCACATTTTAAAAGGAGTTTCGTTTCAATTTCAAGTGACCTATTATTTAATAAAAAAAGGCACTGCATGATTCACAACCGTACCCTCTAAAGTTTTACCTGATCATTAATGTGGAACACATCGTCATTTTTTTAGCTTGAAAAGTTTTTAATAATTGTATATGAAGCAGAAATGTGCAAAGTCTCTGAACAGAGAAACCACAATCAATTTTATTTTTCAAAAAGAAAGTATCTAATAGATTTAATGCATTCTTGATCAGACACAGTTTTGAAGGAGGGGATCGACGCGTTGTGAATTGAACTTGACACTTAATTAACGGAGCGTCATTTGAAATTATGCCTACCTAGTACCTACAGTCCTTTAACGTACGTCAACAAGTATGAAGCTAAAAAAAAACGATTAAGGAAAAGTGATTTTAAAAATAATTCCGAAAAAGAAAGAACAATTTTTCTGAAAAAATGTGAAAAAAATATGAAAATAGAATAAAATTGGAGAATGAATAAGTTTATTGTGCAGATATTTTGAATAGAAGGAACTAATAATGTAATATGAGCTAATTTATGGTTGGGGAATGTGACGGGGGAAAGGGGGCGGGAATGTGGAGGGGAATGTGGGGGGGGATGACAGGGGGGAGGGAATGTGGTGGGGGATGACAGGGGGAGGGGGAAGGAGGAGGGAAATGTTATGGAATAGATACCGGGTTGGAAGATTATATCCTAACGGGGTATTATTGTTGGAAGATATGAGGTTTTATGAATAAATTCTACACTATTACGAAGGAAGGGGTACTGGAACCTTGATAAAAGTATACCTGCTGGGGAAACCAGGGGGGGGGGGATAAATCCCCTGAAATCTAGGGATTAAACTGAATGAAACTGCAAGGTTTATGTTTAGTTGAATTATGCTGACTCTGCGAGACTTCATAGTTATATATTTAAACACTGCAACCCTGCCGAGTTTCATTATATAAAGTACAAACAAACCACGTTCAGGGTTTTCAGAAATAATTGTTTAATCGGAAAACTTGGAATTGTAAAGACTTTTTTAATCCACGAACCCCACTCCCCCCTCTCCTCCCTGCACCCATATAATGATCTTTTCTGAGTTTAAACTTATTTCTCTAATTTACTTTACAAAACTTTGAGTTTAAAAAAGTTAAAGGAAAAAGTTGAGATTTAAAGGGACTGTAAAGGAAAAATTAAAGGGGGTATAGGCTGAAACCTAAGTATTTATACGTCCGTATCACGTGACCAGAACTCCCACCAATGGCAGTGCAGTATCACTTGACCAGTATACTGCACTGCCATTGGTGAGAGTTCTGGTCACCTGATGATGTATAAATAATTAAACGTATAATTATGTATAATAATTATCAATTAAATCTATTAAAAATGAAATATTATTAAATTCAAATAATAATCAGGGCAAACCTATGTTACTTGGACACCTCTGGGATAACGTCGTTTCCAGATTGGTAGCGTATTTGCTGAATATGATCTGATTAACCTATTATTTTTATACAAAATTGTATATAAATATAGATAGATAGATAGATAGATAGATAGATAGATTTTTGTATAAAGGAACTGAGTTTTTGTCACAAACTCTACTTTTCTAATCTCTATATCTTAGCTACCTAATGTCGTAGACCTTTGATATTTCAAACTATGAATTCTGTTAGATCAAATAATCTAAGTTTGAAATATCAAAGGTTTACATCATCAGATTGTAAAGATATAGGGATTAGATAATTCGAGTTTGTGCCAAAAACTCAGTTCCTTTGTCACAGTTTTATATTAATTTCTCGAGACAGGAACATCAGATAGAACTCTCATGGGTTGCGATCAACTCCTGGGATAATTAGATTTTAGCCTATACTCCCTTTCATTTTCCTTTACAGTCCCTTTAAGAATGTAAAATGTTAAACTTACTTTTAGAATTTTGTTCAGGCATGAAGGAAGAAAATACACGTTCCTAGCTCCGGACTCCTGTAGTGAGGAAGAGAACCTGCCAGGACGGAATCCGCTCCAGGAGCGGAGCAACATACAAGAGGAAGGAAACCAGTTCACCCGGATCTCCAAGGACCTATATAGAGACTTAAAGAGACCTCAGCAGTTCCAGAGACTGGAGCAGAGTAGGCAGAATACGTCCAAGCTGAATTCATTGGCCAGAGTGAGTCAGCTGAACCTAACCAGGTTCAGCCAGTACTGCTCCTACTCTATGTTTAACAATGAGTCTACGGAGAGCCTGGAGAGTGGGACGGGGAGTCCGTGTAGTGTCAGACTTAGTATCAGTTCGACAAGACTTAATCAGGGAACCATTTCTTTCATTTTAACTCTTAATTCTTACTCTCCCGTTTTTTACGTTACCAACTTCTGTTTTATAGAGAGTGTAAGTAAATTTATGTGACCCTGGTTACATTACCGATTGACAACTGTACTTTTTGCACCTTTACATGAGCTTAGTCCATTTTTAAGAAAAACAAAAATATCTTTATAATTTTTAGCATACCAAGGTTTAAAAGAAACCGTTGTGAATTTGATGCTATAGTTGGAGGGTCACTTTACGCCGAGATTCGTTTTAATCTATTTTTTTTTATTTTCTCTTCATATCCTAGTAGGAACTCAATAAACTCAAACATACGAATTCCTCTCATTCCAGTCATCCGAATTCCTTTACCTCGCATATCTTCCCTCTTATACCAGTACTTTCTGTAGTTAAAAAAAACTTGAAAATATAGGTCTCGAAATATTTAAATTTGAACAATTCCCTAGATTGATTCAGTGTATATCCTTCTAATATTCATCATAGATGATAGATAGAAGTTAGTAGATTCTTATAAAAAGATTGTTTGCAAGATTTTAAAAAATTTAAAATACTTTGCTTTCAACTGTTCTTAAGCCTCTTTTGGGTCGTTTTTGGGGGAATATACTAACTTTTTCATCATCATTTAAACAAATTTGACAAATTCTTTTCCTTCAGACAAATCTTAAGTTGAGTTAAAATGTTTTCATCTAAAACTGATATTAAACTTAGAAATAATCCTCCGAATTAAATCTGATATTAAATTTAGAAATAATCCTCCGAATTGAAACTGATATTAAATTTAGAAATAATCCTCCGAATTAAATCTGATATTAAATTTAGAAAGAATCCTCCTAATTAAATCTGATATTAAATTTAGAAATAATCCTCCGAATTAAATCTGATATTAAATTTAGAAAGAATCCTCCTAATTAAAACTGATATTAAATATAGAAATAATCCTCCTAATTAAAACTGATATTAAATATAGAAATAATCCTCCTAATTAAAACTGATATTAAATTTAGAAAGAATCCTCCTAATTAAAACTGATATTAAATATAGAAATAATCCTCCTAATTAAAACTGATATTAAATATAGAAATAATCCTCCTAATTAAAACTGATATTAAATTTAGAAATAATCCTCTTAATTAAAACTGATATTAAATATAGAAATAATCCATTTAATTAAAACTGATATTTAATTTAGAATTAATCCTCCTAATTAAATCTGATATTAAATATAGAAATAATCCTCCTAATTAAATCTGATATTAAATTTAGAAATAATCCTCTGAATTAAAACTGATATTAAATATAGAAATGATCCTCCTAATTAAATCTGATATTAAATTTAGAAATAATCCTCCGAATTAAAACTGATATTAAATTTAGAAATAATCCTCTGAATTAAAACTGATATCAAATTTAGAAATAATCCTCCTAATTAAAAGTGATAGCAAATTTAGAAATAATCCTCCTAATTAAAACTGATATCAAATTTAGAAAAAATCCTCCTAATTAAAACTGATATTTAATTTAGAATTAATCCTCCTAATTAAAACTGATATTCAATTTAGAATTAATCCTCCTAATTAAATCTGATATTAAATATAGAAATAATCCTCCTAATTAAAACTGATATTAAATATAGAAATAATCCTCCTAATTGAAACTGATATTAAATATAGAAATAATCCTCCGATTCAAAACTGATATTAAATATAGAAATAATCCTCCTAATTAAAACTGATATCAAATTTAGAAATAATCCTCCTAATTAAAACTGATATTAAATTTAGAAATAATCCTCCTAATTAAAACTGATATCAAATTTAGAAATAATCCTCTTAATTAAAACTGATATTTAATTTAGAAATAATCCTCCTAATTAAAACTTATATTAAATTTAGAAATAATCCTCCTAATTAAAACTGATATTTATTTAGAAATAATCCTCATAATTAAAACTGATATTTAATTTAGAAATAATCCTCCTAATTAAATCTGATTTTAAATTTAGAAATAATCCTCCTAATTAAAACTAAAATTAAATTTAGAAATAATACTCCTAATTAAAACTAATATTAAATTTAGAAATAATACTCCTAATTAAATCTGATATTAAATATAGAAATAATCCTCCTAATTAAAACTGATATTTAATTTAGAAATAATCCTCCTAATTAAAACTGATATTAAATATAGAAATAATCTTCCTAATTAAAACTAAAATTAAGTTTAATCCCAAACTCAATACACTTGATTACATTAAGCTTTTCAATATTTCTTGGGAATAGTTTCCGGAAAGTTTATTCTCTAGTTTTCTAGTTCTCTATGTCTAGTTTTCTTTGTTGTCTAGTTTACTATTCACTATTTTCTCCATGTTCATTTTATTTTCTAGTTCCATGTTCAATACAAATCAATTTTTTAATATCCTATTAATCCCAAACTCAATACACTTGATTACATTAAGCTTTTCAATATTTCTTGGGAATAGTTTCCGGAAAGTTTTACATTTACAGATTACTTTCTCTCTCAAAGTTTTATAATAAAGAATAATAAAAAAGATATAAAAAAACATAATTTCTTAAAATTATTTGGATTTGAAAAATTCCAAAAAAAGTTCAGATTGAAATATATCAAGTTTTCATGTCATCATTTTAGTCCTGTATTGGATTATTTCTGTGACCTAAACCAATTATAAATGAAAGAAATAAAAATCAAATTAAATAGAAAATGGGTGATAACTATTCTCTAAATATATAAAATAAAGGAAAGTGCTAGAAAAATGTCTCGAGTTACAGGAGTGGTTAAAGTTTGCATAAAATTACAATTTTCCACAATTCCAATTTTATATTTGAATTCGGTCGGTTTATTTAAATCCCTTTTAGCTCGGATCCCGGATACTAGCAGCAGTTAAAGAACACTTTTCACAGATTTGAATTGTTTGTTTGTTTGTTTGTTTATACTTAAATTAGATCTTTCTACAGTTTCGTTCACTTAATCAAAATTAAATCCAGTTTGATTTTAAATTTATTTTATTTTTCAATTTCTTTTCCATTTCTATATTTTTTTTAGAT